AAGGGGAGTCACGAGTCCAGGTGGTCGTTCCCCGCCAAGTGCGAGGCATCGATGGGGCACCGCTAACTATTGGAGTATACAATCCAGAACTCGAGATGTCAAATTTAGCCGAGCCGCACGAGTACGTAGCGGATAGGGCTGGCGGTCCAATATATATTGTTCCGACTCCAGAGCGTACGACATGCAGCTATTAGAAATGCCGGTAGAGGCGGAGCCAACATTTAAGCATAGTGAGGGCAAGTGAGACGATAACCACAAAAAAGTATTGCCATATGATGTGCTCTCGGTTTGAACTTATACTGGAATGTCTACAGATTTTGCATATCAACCGAAATGAGATCGGGGCGAGCTCCATCTCCTCGGTCAGATTTTCAATTTCAAAAGTAAGGTGGTACGTTATTATTCCATCTACATTCTTGAAACCCATCAACCAAAAATAGCTAACTACACTTCCAAATCAATATTTGCTTTGTGTGATTGTATGGTACTATGGTAGTATCCAAGACAGGCTAATAGTTCCGAACTGAGACTTTGCATATTGAGGGCAAACAAAACATCAAAAAAGAGTATGTAATTCCTAACAGATATAACAAAAAATAGAATAAATAATATCTAAAGATCTAAAATTAACATTAATATGTAATGATATATGTCAGGTCTAGGGTTGACTCGCATGAACCATGCATGCTGCCATGTACGAGACTCTGATGATCAATGCGCGAGTGATGACGGGTGCGCAAAAAACGTGTTGTTGCGAAGACGAATGCGGCGACACAAGAGCTCATGGCAGCTACTGGCTATGCCCTAGTTCAACGACGACGATAAAGTCTAAATGGAAGTTGCTATGTGCGTGATGAACATGTCTTGCCCTCAGCGAGAGACAAGCTCGTCTCGCCTCGCGTAGCTACTAATGGGCCGACCCAAGTAGCTTCAAGCAGGGTAATTCTCTTTCCATCTCTTTTTATTATTTTTCTATATTTTTGAAATTTACCAACTAAATACATCACAAAACTTAATTTTACGTCAGTTTTCTTCAAAACCAAGAATTTAAAAAAATGTAAACACGGTGTAAAAAATTTGTTAGCATGGTTTAATTTTCATAGCATTATTTATAGCATTTAATTTTTGTAACATTTAAAAATGTTAATGCGTTTCAAAACAATGCACATGACATTTTTTTAAACGTTTATACATGCAAAGAAAATGTTCATGTAATTCCAAAAACATTGTACCCTTAAAATAAATACACAGTACATTCTAAAAATATGTTCACACTATTCAATAATATGTTAATGATTTTTTTAAAACGTTTATTCTATGTACAAAAATGTTTGTGTAGTTAAAAATATTTTTTAACATTCAAATAAATTGTTTACACATGTACTTGAAAAATGATTAACACATACTAAATAAAGTTAAAAAATGTATTTTAAAATAAAATATGTATTTTATATATATTAAACGTTTATAAAAATAATGTGATGTACGCCAAAAATGTACAATTTTTTTAAAAAAAATAGAAAGCAAAACATATATTCTAAAAATAATTTCAATTGTGTATTTGAAAAATGTTAAACATGTATGAACTATGTTCCGGATGCGCCATGCGAGTGGCGAGGCTAAGCTACGTCTCATAGTAAGTGAGACATAGCTACGCTATGCTATCTACTTACTAGTAGTTGGGGCCCGCCAATGGCGGGCCTCCTGAGGCGTTCCTATGCGGCCCTATCTTGACTCAGCACATTTTTCTGTCTTGTTTGATCCTTAATCTCAACTCATGTAACCTTTCTTTACATGTCTAAGAGAAACACCGATCCTGCTAATCGATGGGACAAAGCTTATCAGGTTGCTACAAGTTTACAACCAATTGGTCATTATTGTATGATTGGGTGCACACATCATTTGGTTGGAACACTTCCCCAAGAAAATTCAAGAGTAAGGTTAGACCTTATCTAGTCAAGAATAAAATGACATCAATATCAACATATTCACTTTGCACCTCAAGGCAATGGGAGAGGTTAACGCAGATCATAATGAAAAGATGTATGAGCAGGACGAAGACACTTGTTTTATAGTCTTGACATATATGAGGATATACCATAAGTTACATGTAAAAAGTAGCAATGGGCTTATAATATAGTTTCTAGAATAATCTTCAATGAGAAATAAACTTGGTAGGGTAAACAATGAATTTATGATCTTTAAGCTTTAGCCGACACATCAGTCTTTACAACCTTAAAATATACTGATCTAAAATATTCATAGCTTGAAAGAGCAAGTAGATTTCCTACAAAAAATAAATAGAAAATAGTTAGGCGTGGTGACTGGTGAGTGGACAGACACATTAGTGTGGTCAAAAGGAACAACAACATTTTAACATGCCTACAAAAAACAGAAAATACGGGAGGACACTGTAATATCATGCATAGAAGAAATCACCTCAGACACTTCTCCCTTTTTAGGAGAACTGTATCAAACACCTGAGTTGTACAAACCAAAAATACGAAATTAGCAACTCTCGGTACTTCCTTCACATTCAGTTATATGAGTTCCATCATTTACAACCTGCAATATTTAACTCTTGCTAGTCCTTAGAGCTAGAAGTACACATATTAGATTGGGAAGATCACATTCAGTTAGTCCAAATTAATCAATGAACTACTCAACTAAGTTTGCTTGTGTAAACAATAATATGCACCCATCAATGATCTGGCTATGCAAACAACTATAATTTATAATTTTCTAGGATCCTCGGGTCTGAGTATACCTTCACTAAACTGCTGCTCAGGTTGGTCACCTCGGATCACATCAGTGCCTACAGCACTTTCAATAACAGACTTGCTAAAACTTCTTACTACTGGCACGCTTTCCTGCAAAGTAGGTTCGATCAAAGAGCATCAAGGGAGAGTGAGTACCTAAAAATTCTGAAGATCTAGAACGTAACCTCCTGCAGGCGGCACGCCAGACGAAAGGGGGCAAGGCTGCTGGATCAAAATCTCGACGTCCTCTGTCATCCTCTGGTCAGACTACTCAACTTATTTTCATAGACCTGAATTAAATTTTAGAAAAATGAAATTTCATGATTACATAGATGAGATGGTCTAGAAGTAGGGCACTGGAAGAAAGGGGAAGGAAAATATCAGGAAGAAGAGAGGAGGGTGTGTACCTGCGTCAACAACACAGTCAAGTATACGGAGAAAAGGTCCGCCGTGCACTTGCCTCAACACGACAATTAATCGAAAGAACTATCCTCTGCACCTGTAGCGCTCAGTCCTGTAGATAGTCTAGTATTTAAAACAACTCCATTCTAACTGCAAGAATACACATTGTCGCTAGTGAGCAGAACCATGGCTCCACATCCATACTGATCTTATTGACATTTAAATATAAACATGGATAGTTAGAACCACACAAAGTACCTGCAGTAGTTCAGGCTGCATATCGAGCACTTAAGTACCAATCTGGTCAGCGATTACAGTGGCACACATTGATGATGCTCAGTGTTGGTGGTTCAGTTCTAGCATATGCACAGAGAAATGAAATCACCTTATAGCATCTAACATGTATTCGTTGTGGTACTGTATCCTCTTATCATCTTGAAGACATATTTCAACCTATCATGCCTGCCATATATAAGTAGTTAATTATCACTGACAATTTATTTAAGGGCAAAAATCTTATCGGCAGAGAACTATACAATCTTCAGCGACTTACCATTCTTAGTAATGAACACAGGCGGATTTCCATACTTCTTCTTAACATGTTTCACCAGACTGAACATTCCCTAGGGAACTAACTATGTGCAGCAAACTCAATGCTGCCTGAAAGTAGACAAATATTTGTGTATTATCAATTGAACATGTGATTAAATAAGATAGCAAACAAAAGTTTAGAGAAAACCTGAAGCTGCAAGTATATCGTTTTTCCTATTCTCTTTCCATGCCTGTAAGCTGCATAGCACATGGAGAAATCAGTAATATTGACACTGGATTATGGGGATTATCATATGTTTTTTCATCATGACTGACGGAGATGAGATGACTGCAGCATCCGTTGAAGCATCATTCATGACAAGTTTTCTGACGTGCATCCCGTCGTTCCTAGCATATAATGTTGTCTAGTGGTTTATGCCTATCAACAAAAGTTAGATCAAATTGAGTGTGTTTGCATACAGATTCTGAATATGCAGAAAGGGTGTTACATACTATCCAAGATTTTGCTGTCCAGCTTAATCTTATACTGGTGGCAATAAAAAGAAAAGCATCAAAGGATTAGTACCAGAAGTAAGTTCCTATGTTTATCATATCTACTTTTACAAAGTTAGGATGCCTATTCCTTATATGAACTGATACTTGAACTTTGTATCTGACACTGAGTACATAAGAGCTCAATTTCAGCAATGTACATTCAGTAATGTGTATAAATGTCATGCAAATACAATTGTATTCAGTAATGCTATGAAAATGTCAATTTTTTTTGCATGGAAAATGTAAGCAGAACACCTTCTACTTCTAATCTTTGTATGGAAGTGCATGATAAAATCAACAACACCTACAAGTCAAACTGGGCGTGCCTTATCCATATGCTGCACCAAGCTCTGCATCTCCAACCTCAACTACAAGACAATGTCTCCAAGGTAAAAAGGACCATCCTACTTCTATAAGTTTGCCCACGAAAATAATATATTTTGTACAGTTTAGCGCAAGGAGAGAGGAGCAGGGAAATACCAGTGGCGGCAGCGGTGGTGGCGCGATCTTGGCGGAGTATACCCCGGCGGCGGCGGGAGTCGACGCAAGTGGAGTCGATCTGCGGTGGAGGAGGGAATCTAAGGGACGACGACGGTGTCCGCTTCAAACTGGAACCTATAGGCGCATGGCACAATGAAAAGCAACCAATCAATATCACTGGATGGCTGGATGTAACACAGGACGAAGGGTGGATTCTGGGTCTAGTTATACGTCTTAAATTAAATCAACAATGCCGCCATCTACTCAGTTTGCCTAGTTCACAAATTCTATTTTGGTGAATGGCTCCCCCGCGTGAAGCTTGAGGGCAACATCACCAACAACCTGCACACAAAGGCAGAGCAAAATTCAGTACGAGAGGAAATGGTAAATGGTCACACAAGTCAGCCAGCTTTAATTCTTTTGCGTCGAAGATTTCAATGATAATACACACAGTTAATGATGATGGTGATGACTTCCTTTATTAAGAATGAAATGATAATGCACATGACACGCCTATCTAAGCAGGGGTTGAATGAGGTGTCCTTCAGTTCAAAGTAATTCTAGGATATCGAAAAAGGAAGCAACAATCCACAAGGAAAATCATGAATTTATGCGCAAAGAGAAAGAGGAGGTTGCTAAGTGGCTAATATCAATAAAGAATAAACCATTTTGTTTAAGCATATATGTTCTTGTTTACTGATGCTTTTAGTCATGAGAAAAAAAAGTTCTTCCAACAGAATACTGCCTTTTCATACCAGGCCTGTAGCCAGGAAAGCTGATCATCCAAATTGGCACTGTGATGTTTAAACAGTGTGCTCATGAAGCCAATGAGGTAGCTCATAAATCATATGATTCTAGTGCTAGTTTTGTTTGGAAAGATGATCCACCAGACGTATTATAGAGGCTAATGTAATTGATGCTACCTAATGATATTAAAACGTCACAGTTGGCTCAAAAATAAATAAATAAATGTGGCGCTTCTGAATCTAGAAGTTCTTTTTTAACACAAATAGTATAATGTCACTATAGGAGTTGTCAAGATATAACTACTAGCGACAACTACATGATTGGTAAATGAGGACCAACTCTGTGTATTGCAAAGAAACAAGTGCAAACCAACTCTGTGATTCCTGCAACATGTGGTGTTATAATAACATTTGGGAATTTCAGAATTGGATCCTCTGGATCGAATGGCTCTGTCCAAGCAACATCAATGCCTAAACCACCTAAATGACCTGACTCAAGGTGATTAAACACAGCCGTATAGTCCAGTAGGCGCCCTCTGGCAATATTGATGAGATATGATCCCTACAAGAACATGGCAGTTATTGAGAATGGGAGTTCTGCTGTCAGGTGCATACTTCACAGTTTTCCAAAAATCAAAAACAGATCCTATATGTAGATTGCAAAATAATATATGCACTCTGTAAGTTTTTGTCATGAAATATGTCCATTTATGTGTGTGCAAGGAGAGAAATACTAAAATATCAACTCTATGCCATGAACCTTAGTTCATGATGGATAATACCGCCAGCCCGGTACGGCTAGGTTGATAGTGGAGGACAGGCTCGAAGATAACGCTGATTATTTCTTGTTTCATTAATATATTCTAAGAGGATCTTCTTTACATAGAGCCAAACAATAAAAAACAGGATATCTTATTTCTGCTGGCATAAGGGCCAGGTTACAAGATATCTTCCTAATTTAAATAGTTAAAACATCCCATAATTTGTGCCGATTGGGGTCGGTTATGCCTGTCACATGTGTTTCTGCAGCAAGTTTTTTTTCCGATACCGGTTTTCTTTTTTGGAATGGGCCGGAAGAACCGAATTGCGATAAATCTCGGAAATCTCAGAATTATTCCGTCTGAACGTATTCAAACAAATTCTTGATTTTTTTTGCATCACAATATGTAATTTTAACCTGGCACACACACATACTCTCACGGATTCCACTGGTCACCTCGCACATGCCTTTTTTCCGTGTGGGGTGTGGGTTTTAACCCTCGCTGCTGCACTATTTTGCTATGCACCATTTACAGCTGAAGAAGCTGCAAACATTGATGGGACAATAGGGGAATCCCCAAGACCTCCAAGGGTGTAAGTTATGGACCTCACCACCACACGAGGCAGTGAGTTGTGATAACATATGCATACAGAGCCTATTTGACAGTCTTAGCATTTGAATTCATTTTTTTTTCAAAAAAGTCGAACAGTTACACTGTTTCTTGGGGGTCAGCGAAAGTTCTGTTCGGTTACCACTCGGAAAAAACCTTGATCTGCAGTGGTGCACACACACGACGCTTTTTTTTTTGCGGGGAACACATGAGGCTATATGTATGCATTTCTTTATAGACTTTACCAAAAGAGCTGTACATACAGTATCATTCCACGAACGTCTATGAATATTCTTGATATCTTTTCCTTTTGAAAACTTGGAGCAGCACGCTTGTTCTTTGAAACAAGAACATATGCTCCTGGGATCACTTTGGCATTTTCTGATGGTTATTCCAATGAATACACCAGCACAATCTGATCCTCCAACACTATTCTAAGATTAATGTTTCCTCATATACAAATTTTCTTCTTACAGGATGAATCAAGAATGATGGCTTATTTATTCCGTAAAATAAATAAATCTCAGAAGAAGATTTAAGAAATGAGAAGATGTAAATCTCCTACGATGCAGACAAGTATATTGGAGAAAAATACATGTACCTTTTTCAAAGCTGACAGGAACTTGTGATCCACAATCCCAACCTATAAATATTTATAGCTTAGTAACCGCCTAACTGAAGTCAAATAGAGATATTACTGGCAGAATTTTTATTAAATAAATGAACAAAGAGAAGAATTAACTGATTCATTGTTTAACGTCATGCAAGTTATAACTATGTCAGCTTCTTGAACGAGTTCGTACATATCTTCTGGACCACCTTTCTTGTCAACCAGCCCATCAAGATCTGCAATAGCAATATTTTGAGAGAGGAAGATAACACAACATCTAATAAGGGAATGATACTGCAACTACTGCAGCTTACCACAAGACACTGTATTTGATGACCAGTTTCTTTTTGTAGCAAGAATTTTCACTCCAAATGGTCTTAGTCTCTTGGCAATTTCCATGCCAATGGCTCCGAACCACAGGATAAGTATCTAGCATAGTAAATACAAGTTTCTACTCAAATGGGATTTTTCTTGCGGAAAGTAGATAAAAGTAACAGTATCTAGCACAGTAAATACAAGTTTCTACTCAAATGGGATTTTTCTTGTGGAAAGTAGATAAAAGTACCTTATACACGAAAAGCATACTGTTTTCCCGAATATTGCTTCTCCAACTGGAGGCCCAAGTCCTTCTGAATGACAGCAGTATCCATTTCCTTCTGCAAATTATGGCCAAAGTCCAAAACATGAATATTCCATTACAACTGACTGAAGTAACTTATATTTATTAAACTAAAAAAACTTATCTTCCAAATGATGGAAGCTACAAAGGTAGCTTATTTAACAAAAAACTGAGTGAATATTCGGTACAAATATATGCAACATGATGAACCATGGCTTGAAATCAGTGTCCGATTGCCTAAATTGTTGGATATTGTACTAAGTAGGATCCACGTGAAACAGAAACCATGTTTAATAGGCTCATCATGTATTTTTTTTCCCCAAATTTCTGCAACTTGCAGGCCCTTTTATCAAATCCAGCGGCTGCCGCATCAGCAGCTCAAACTGGAACCTACAGGCGCATGGCACAATGAAAAGCAACCAATCAATATCACTGGATGGCTGGATGCAACACAGGACGAAGGGTGGATGGCAGGGAGGGAGGGAGCAACGCGATACCTCGAGCAGGAAGGGGTTGGGGCCGGGGAGGGGGGAGGTCGAGAGAGCGCGCGAAGCGCGCAGAGCTGAGCAGCCTCTCGCCGTAGCAGGAGAGGTCCATGCCGCCGCCCTGGATGATGAGCAAGAAGACGAGCAGCGAGGGCCCGGACTCGAAGAGCTCGCCGCCGCACTCCTCTTCCTCACCTTGGACAGCGGCCGCGATGTCGACCTGAGTCTGGCAAATCGACAGATCAGACGAAAGTGGTCCCACCGTGCTCGGCAGCGGCGTCGCGGCCCTCCTTCCGCTGCCGTACTCGGGGAAGAAAGGGAGGGGTGAGGAAGCTGGTGTTCGGGCCGGTGCTGGCACTACAGCGAGGAGCCGGTGGTGGAGGCGGCGGAGCTCGGGGCGGGGATAGAGGCGGCGTACTGTGGTGCCGGGCGGCGGAGGAGCTGGGGCAGTGGCGGCGGCAGCCTAGGGAAGGGAGGAAAGGGGAGGTTGCGTGTACAAAGAGAGAAAGAAAAGAAGGCACCGACGTCCTGCGCTTTTTTATGTTTTTTTTCTCGGCGTCGTATCCTATGAATCTAGCCATATTTGTGCATCCCTGCATCCGCTCTTTATAAGCCGTTTGATCGTAATCTTCCGTCTACTGTGCGTCCGCTCTCCTTTTTGCACAAAAACGCCCGCAGCCAGCTAATTCGCCCTGTGAATTTTGCAATCACCCCCTCCTCCCAAGCCGAGGTCATCCCTCCCAAAATCTCTTCATCCCTCCAATCCCCAATCCGGCGGCCATCACGGAGTGCCACGACGGGGACGGCAACCTGCGACGACCGTGTGGATGGCGATCACATTCACAACATCAACCATGGACGGCAGCCTTAGACGGAGCACGCAATGAAGCGTGCAACGGTGATCTGCGTAGGCGGCGGACGCATCCCAGCAGCGACCGCCGGTGATGAAGACAGCAGTATGCGACCATGACACTCCGACTCTGGCCACAACCACCACGTCCCGATGACGGTGCCGACCACAACCACATCCCAACGACGGCCGCGACCACAACCACCATGTCCTGAGTCGGCGGCGACCACACCCCCGTCGTTTATTAGATGACCAGTACTGCCACTACGTAGCTAGGAGTAGTTCTTTTTAGATGAACTCCTCTTGCCGATTCCAACAACAATTTATCTTATTGGGATGTGGCAATCGAGCTTCAGAACTAGAGTAATGTGTGTTGCTGAATGTAAAATTCAGAAAAGGTGAATTTCAGTTCTTTGAATTTGTCTTTCAGAAAATTGAGAGAGGGAGCAACTGGGCAGAACATCTGCTGGTTGCCTGAGCTAGAAGTCACAGGATAAATGAATCTTGGCTAGGAATTGATCTTGTACTGAAAATCACAGTGTAAACGTGTTTGCATGATAGAATAAAAGCTCTTGTTTACTCTCAAGAAAATAGTGTTTTACTTTCTTTGGTGAATGCCATCGTTGAGGTTCATGTGTATTCACAAGCTGAATTGTTTCTTGCACAATTCATACCGCAATTTGGTTCACAAGTCTTGTATGCTGCGACCACATGCTTACACCCAGTACATCCTACTTCTACTACTAATCAGCTAACATCCCAATTAGCTGATGAGTGGTTGAACTGAACACTGCTTATACAACAGAATAAACGGATGAGCTCACAGTCTGGCTAAGTTTCTTGGACATGAATTTCTCCTGTGTGATAGCAGTCGCTCCTTGGTATAACAGAATGAAAGCACGTTCAGGTTTATGAGAACATAATTTATTATGGTGCTCCTGATAGTTGGCACGCTCCATTTAACTTGCAACTGGTTAAAGAAAATAAGAAAAAGACAGTTTGACAAAAGACATATTCTCATTCATTACAAGAATTCAGTACATACAAGAATCAAAACTGAGCTTGCGAACTATTTCCCAATTCCCTAGCTGCACATGCATGAACATTATAAGTCGTCCGAAAGCGAGATGTTCATGTTCATGTTCTGTAGTGTTAGGATCCAGCTACTAGATTCTAGGAGTGAGCATTCAGACAGCTGCACAACAATCAGACAGAAGGTGCAAGATCTCATGCTCCAGATACTCCCAAAGCGACTTGTGAGCATCAGCAGAACACTCTATTGTCACAGCTGCAGATCATTCGGACAGAAGGTGCAAGCGCCACTGACATTTGTGAGAAACCCAAGGAAAGATCCTTCCAGGAGCGCACAACAGAATTGTGTGATTCAAAAACCAGGCAAACTTCCATTGGTCTCTTGTGCAAGTATTGTTCAGTTGAGATCTCATGAGTAGCAGCACAAAAGCAGAGGAATCCGGACCAAATGTGTCACGAGCTTCAATAGTGCAAGTGAACCATCCTAATTCATGACCTGTTACTACCTCATCACTTGTTGTAAACATTTGTAGCTGTAGATAATATAATTGAGGACAGGAGTCAAAACCCATTTCCTAATAAGTAATCATCCTTGTGACTGACGGGTGGGGATACGGTCTGCACATTGCCTCCTTCTGCAATAATAATAGCAGGTCAAGAAGAGATGGCAACTGAAATCAAGCATTACATAGCTGCAGCAAAAGAACAAGAACATCCTGCAATTGCTCATACTGAAGATTCCCATAACAAATGGACCAGAAAATGCTTGTGTTCAGAACTGGAAATTGCTTGCGACAGATAGCAAGGATACCAATAGCGCAATAACAGATCACTATGGAGTTGGCCTGAAGATTGTCCTCGCCCATATCAAGGAATTTTATGATGGGTTTGCTCACAACTACTATGCCAAGGCAATTAGGCAAAGCGCAGGGTTGCCTCTTGATTTATGGAGGAAAGACGATGAACATGTTGATCTCGATTGTTGTGGAAGCAGATTCACCATCCCTGGCAGCTCATAGTGATCGGTTGCGGCGTATCGTACGAGGAGGATTCGTTGGTAGATGCATTTCGTCGTGTCCCATGGCCGCCGGTGGGATGCACAGGTTGCAACGTGATTAGGGATTGGAAGAGAAACGATTGGGAGTAGTGAACTAGGAGGCCTGCCATCGGCTGAGAATTTTTTTAGAAAATTTACAGGGCGACTTAGCTGGCTGCGGGCGTTTTTGTGCAAAAAGGAGAGCGGACGCACATCAGACAGAAGATCTCGATCAAACGGCTGATGAAGAGCGGATGCAGGGATGCACAAATATGGCTGGATTCATAGGATACGACGCCTTTTTTCTCTCACTAGCACAGTAAAATTGACGAGGTGGAATGCGCGAGGAGGTGCCCTTGATGCGCACCTTATTGTTTTTTTAGGGCAAAGCATAGCTTTATTACTTAACGGTGGTCAGGTATATCACCTGAGACACATTCAACCACTTGAGCTGGAACATTCGACCGAAAGTCTACATAATGGTTTGCAGGGTACATTCTGCCAACATTGGCTAGTTCATGTGCAACTGAATTTGCACTACGTCTACACACCCCTAGAACATATTTGGAAAACCACAACTTCAGCTGAAACTTTGTATTCTCAATAACGGCTGCATACGGTGAGGAGTCAGCTTTCCGGAGATCCAAGGCTTCTACCAAAAGTTGTGAGTCTGTTTCAAAGACCGGCTGAACTACGCCGAGATCTGCCGCTAGTGCAACTGCATTGGACATGGCAATAACCTCCGCCCCGAATGCACCTTATTGTTTTGGATTCTATCAAAGTTGGCTACCGTGGGGTTTATCTTATTCGGCTCTGCTAGTTAGATGTACAGCACTAGATAGCCCATGCAGAAGTGCAGCACGTGAGATGTACCCTTGCCTCGCTAGTGGCGCTCCGTGAATAGGCCGGCCAACACTATAACTTCTTCGAGCAGTTTTGGGAAGTTTCTATCCCAGGACGTATAAAAATCGTCCTCTGGGGGCGAGCCGGCGATACAACCGGCACTGGGGGCGGTTTTGCGCTTAGTCGTCGGCCACAGCTCGCCTTTAGGCGTCGAAATTGATCCACTTTGCAGCCCCATTTCGACGAATAAAGGGCCCATATGGGTGAGAATAGGCTCATATTCGGCGTGGTTCGCCGTGTCTCGGCGTTCAATTATCAACACAATTTTTTCTTATCACATATTTCATCACAGAAAAATCAAATACTTCAACAAAATAGTACAACAACAAATAGTTCAACAAATAAAAACTCGTATTTCATCACACGGCGTCCCCCTTGAGTCTTCATAGATGCTCAATCAGATCTTTCTGCAGTTGATGATGCACCTGTGGGTCTCGGATCTCCTGACGCATACTGAGATAGGCAATCCAAGCTGCTGGTAGCTGGTGATCAACTTCGGCTAGAGGACCCTGCCTGTAGTATGGTTCAGTGTCAAACACTGGGTCTTCTTGCTCGCTCTTGATGATCATATTGTGCAAGATGACACAGCAAGTCATAATCTTCCACATTTGATCTTTGGACCACGTCTGAGCGGGGTACCGGACAACAGCAAATCGAGATTGGAGCACACCAAATGCCCGCTCGACATCCTTCCTGCACGCCTCCTGAATCTTCGCAAACCAGGCGTTCTTGCCTCCTGGCACGGGGTTTGAGATGGTCTTCACAAATGTCGACCATCTCGGATAGATGCCATCAGCTAGATAGTACCCCTTGTTGTAGTGCCGCCCATTGATCTCGAAGTTCACCGGAGGAGAATGACCTTCAACAAGCTTGGCAAAGACAGGAGAGCACTGCAGCACGTTGATGTCATTGTGAGTTTCTGGCATACCAAAGAAGGAGTGCCAAATCCAGAGGTCTTGTGTGGCCACCGCCTCAAGCACCACACTGCAACCGCCTTTGGCGCCTTTGTACATCCCCTGCCAAGCAAATGGGCAGTTTTTCCATTTCCAATGCATACAGTCGATGCTTCCAAGCATCCCAGGAAATCCTCTTTGCTGCATTCTGTGCTAGGATCCGAGCAGTGTCTTCCACATTGGGTGTTCTCAAGTATTGTGGTCCAAACACTGCCATCACTGCCCGACAGAACTTGTAGAAACACTCTATGCTGATGGACTCGGCCATGCGCCCATAGTCGTCGAGTGAATCACCGGGAGCTCCGTATGCAAGCATCCTCATCGCCGTCGTGCACTTC